AGGTTGCAAGAACAGGATCCGCAATGTTTACACGCAGGTGCTGATTCCCTGAACGGGACCGCCTCCATTGCTTCCTTTGCTGCGCTGTCCTTCTCTCTCATGCACCTTTCCCAGGCAGCTGGGCAACCTTCAGACACCTGTCCCTGTATTCCTAAATACTAATACAATGATAAACAACAGGAAAACCACAAGGCTGTAACACAATTCTCCAACTTAGAGAGCAGATCACACGTCCCACTTGCCCTAACCACACAGTACAAGGTCCAAGGTCACAGATTGCCTCTCGCCGCTGTGGCTCGCTGGGGTTTCTCAGATCTGGAGTGGCTCTCTGGTCTCCCAGGCCCATCCCTCTGCGAAGTCCTCTGTGACAATCCCAGGGTGTGCCCTTCCGGAGGGGACGCTACAGGCGGGTGGCGTGTCCTTCCCACGCGCCACCTCTGTGCGTGCCTGGCAACCCGAAGGCCCAGCTGCTCTGCACACGAACCACGTGGTTACGGTCTGTCTGCCAGACTTCTCGGCTACAAAGCTATCATTATTTTTTTCCCCTTCAGAATGAATAAGCCTCCTGTCAGAAATGACTTTGTGACCGTGTAAATTGCCTGTGATTTCAATACACTCCTTTTAGGATCCATTAGGGCTTTTTACATAAATCAATAATTGGGGTGAGTGCCAACCGGTGATTTGACGATTCTACCATCCCTTCTGCACTGGCACTCTGTACTAAGAAAGAACTTTTTCTTCTCTCTCATTTGTTCATCTGATTAACCAACACAATGATTTTTTTCTTCCCAGTTTAGACTCAGGAATTACAAATCTACTCAATGAGCCGCAATCCTTTACTTCATTATTTATTTTTAAGCTCAGATTGGCAGAGGCAGGCCTTCAGCCGGCTCCTGTGTGCCTGGGACACGTGACCACTCTGTACGCTGCTGTACTTCCCAGCACAAGGAGTCAAGGTTATCTTGTCCTTTCTCTCTCCAGTTCCAGAACTGGTTTCCTAAGCAGCCGTTCCAGTAGAGAACGGTCTTCAGGATGCAGGTTCACACGGTGGCTCCTGGGGTTGTCATGACTTCCATGCATATGCAGAGCGGGCTATGATACAGATGTGTCTGTGTCCATGGCCACGCTCATCCATTCCCCTGCTCCCGTATATCCACCCACGGACCCACGGACCTCTGCACCATTCTTCCCACCTTACTTATCATGAGTCCACAGCAGACCTCTCCAATCCCATCCCCACAGCACAGTGCGTTTCCGGGTCTTCTCTGTCCGCATTTGTGACTCGCTCCTCCAACACTGAGAAAACTTGTAAGATCCGAAGTGACTGACTGACTGACTGTTCACTTCTCAGGCACTCAGAAAGGAGTTTGAGGATTGTTAGACCATGCATCAAGGAGGGAAAAAAAAAAACCAATACAAACTGGAATTGAGTATTTACAGCCAAGGGTTTTGTTTTCCACAGCTTGTAACTGCAGGCCATGCAGCCCCCACAGTCCTTGAGCACTGTTCCCGGCTTCTCCGGGGAAGCCAGGAGCTGTGGCCGCTGACTGCTTAGACAGGGTACACCTGCTCCCAGGGCCACTCCCTCGCCTCCGCAGGGCAGCTCAGACCTCCCTGCTGACCAACGTGCAAACTGCACCATGCTCCCACCTCCCCCAAGGACTCTCTCTACTCTCTCTCTAGCTGCCTCTGTTCGTCCCTGGACGTAGGAATAGCCAGTCTGCTGGGTAGCGATGCTCATTTCCCAGATACCACCACCGCCCACTGCAGGCAGCTCAGTCTGCACTTGGGATTTTCCAGTCTTGAGCTAACCTGAACCTGCTCAATGCCGGAGACGCCTTGTTCTCCGTCCATCTTTGACACAGTCTCTCTGGCCTCCTCCCACCTCGTGGCCTCCTCGGGTTTCTCTGCGAACTTCTGTCCTTCCTGGACTGCCTGGTACCTCTCTCCTGGGGGGACTGCTCACCCCCGTGGGACTCCTGCACGTTTCCCAATTGGGCACGCCTGCAGCTGAACTTGCCTACTGCTCTCTAGTGGCCCGCCTCCAGGATGCCCTTCCGTGCGGGGCTCCGTCTCTGCCTCAGGCTACATTTTTTATGAGTTTTACTTTCCAACTCCTATCAGCTGTTAATTTTTCTCCATTGCCATCACTACCTCTGTCAGAACTATTGCCTCAAGGGACGGCACTGTGGCATGGTGGGTTAAGCTTCTGCCTGTGCTGCTGGCATCCCTTATGGGTGCCAGTTTGTCTCCCGACAGTGCCACTTTCGATCTAGCTCCCTGCTAGTGTGCCTAGGAAACAAGAGAAGATGGCCCTAGTGCTTGGGACGCTGTGCCTACGTGGGAGAACCTGATGAAGCTCCTGGCTCCGGCTTGGCTCAGCCCTGACCATTGCCACCATTGTAGCCATCAGGGGTGAAGCAGCTGATGGAAGAGCTCTCTCGGTAACTGACTTTTTAAATAAACAAATTTTTAAAATAATTACCTCGGGCCTGGCATGGTGGCCTAGTGGCTAAAGTCCTCGCCTTGAACGCGCCGGGATCCCACATGGTTGCTGGTTCTGGTCCCAGCGGCCCTGCTTCCCATCCAGGTCCCTGCCTGTGGCCTGGGAAGGCAGTCGAGGATGGCCCAAGGCCTGGAGACCCTGTACCTGCGTGGGATACCTGGAAGAGCCCCTTGCTCCTGGCTTCGGACTGGTGCAGTACCAGCTGTTGGGGAGTGAACCAGTGGATGGAAGATCTTTCTCTCTGTCTCTCCTCCTTCTGTATGTCTGACTTTGCAATAAAAATAAATAAATATTAAAAAAAATAATTACCTCGACTGCTTTTTAACAGGCATCTCTTCACACTGCATAGCAGATGTGAGTATGCACAGCATTGAGGACAGAGAGAGAGGCAAAAATCCTCATCTTGCTCTGAGGATAAAAACAGACTCTTTACAAGAGGCCTGCAAGGCTCTCACGGCTTGCTCCCACTGTCCCCGAATCCTCGTGCCAACTCAGGTGATGCCCCACTCTTGGGGGCCTCCTTCTCCTCCCCCACAGGCCTTCGCGTATGCACCTCCACCAGCAAGGCCACTCCGTCCCCGCATCCCGGGCCAGTCACCGAGGCCTCAGCGTCCTTCCTGTTCTGTAGCGAGGTCCTTAACGCCCTCAGAAACACTCTCCGAGACTCCTCGCTGCTCATGCCAACGGAACTGGGAATGTCTCTCCCAGACTCCTCGCCTTCACCAACCCCACGTTGCTCACGCTGGTGGAATTGGGAATGTCTCCCTAGTGGTCTACACCATCTTGGTCATTTTGCCCTTGTTGCATCTGACTGCTGTCATACCCTCAGACGGCCCCAGGAACATAGGGGCAACCTGCCCTACGTCCTTGCACCTGGCACAATGCCCAGCAGACAGACTCAGCAGCAGATGTGCTGAGTCAACAGAGGTGGCACGGCGGAGCGGCAGGGGGCATGCCCACGAAGCAGGTGGCTGCTCCACCTCCCTGGCTGTATGAGCCCAGCGTGCTCATCGGGGCAGCGAGCGAGTAAGTGAATTCATCTTCCAGGGTTGGAATGAAGGAAGCTCGTGCGATACCCCGAGCACAGTAGCTGGGCAGAGTAGAGAGTAGAAATGCGCAGTAAGTATATAAAATGAATAGGTGTTAAAGAGTTGCTCAATGGATAATTATTAATTTAACTGACAATATTTGTTTTTTCAAAGAGAAATACAAGTGGGTTGTTGCTGAAATACAGGCCGAGGGCCAAGTTACATTGATTAGAAATAGCAATCTGTCTAACTCATAGAAAACAGAGTTCAGACTTAACACAGCCTCTTGAGTAAGCTTGAGACTTAGTGTTGGGAAAACCACCACTCCACGAGGGAATGCATCCAACGCCGTGTGGAAATGCAGGCTGAGCTCTTCACCCGTTCACTGAATGCCGTGGGTCTCTCTGGAGTGACTGACTGGCCATACGCCGGGAGAGACCGTTTCTATCCAGACTTAGCAAAACTAAGACAAACCATCACAAATGAACTTTTAAAATCCACGGACACCCACGAGCCAAATCTGAGCATCCAGGCTATGTCCATGATGAAAGGTCTCCCTGTAGGAGATCCTGCCCACGTGGCCCAGCCCCTGTTGCCCCAAGCATTCTTCGAGGCGAAGGAGCAGGAAGTGTCTGCTGGCCACGAGCTGCTGCGGCAGCGCAGTCTGAAGAGTGGCTCACAGTGCAGGCTGCTCGCTACCAAGCATTCACACACCTTCCTCATTACAAGGGCTGAAGAGACAAGCCTGGAGACACAAGGTCTCTGCCAGGTCTCACGCTGCCAAAGGGAAGAAACACACAAGGGGAGGCCAAGCGCGCCTGCGGGAAGGGAGTGGTTGTGAAGGGGAGAGAATTCCAGTAAAAGGAGAGCCGCAGCAGACCAGGGGTGCAGGCCGGCACCCCAGGCCGTGGGGAGTACACACACACCTCACTGCAGACCAGGGGCGCAGGCCGGCACCCCAGGCCGTGGGGAGTACACACACACCTCACTGCAGACCAGGGGCGCAGGCCGGCACCCCAGGCCGTGGGGAGTACACACACACCTCACTGCAGACCAGGGGCGCAGGCCGGCACCCCAGGGGTGCGGGGAGGAGCACACACACAGCTCACTGCAGCAGACCAGGGGTGCTGGGAGCTGGCCAACACCCCAGGCCGCGGGGAGGCACGCGCACACACCTCACTGCCGAAGGTTTTCACACAGCCTGAGGAGCGGCTGATGACCGTCCACTGGGCTGTGGAGCTGAGCCCTGGGAGCACCCAGCAGTTAGGCCCAGGCTGAGGCCCAGGCTCTGCCGAGGACCGGCTGCCTTCCCGCAGCTGTGGACAATGTAAGCCCAGTGAGGAGGGGCATGCTGAGCTGTGCTCCGACTCCCTGCTGGGGCTAGCACTGCACAGCACTATGGATACAACAGCAGCTGCACAGTGGATCCCGGCTCCACGAGGCCCGTTCAGGAACCCATGACTGACCTGTGTCGTGGAGGTGGTCTCTGGCCACTTCAAACAAGCGAAGGTGCATGTTGGTGATGGGGTTGAAGGAGCCACAGGCCAGCAGCACCACGGGGATCCGGCCCTTCATCTCACCAGGCACGTCCACGCCTGCCGCTGCTGCCACCCTGTCTGGGCAGGGGCAGAAATCATGTCAACAGTGTCACATTGTGACAGGCATCTGACCCCCAAGCCACAGGCTGCTCCTTCTCACCGGCAAGTGGGCCAGGGAGACCACCACGGCAACTGGCGAGCTGCCTGTGGCACGACGGGGGCTGTGCCAAGTGCTGAGCTGGCTCAGCCACCTTAGAAGGCACTGGGCCATGGTTGGGGCCCAGGCAGCCTGACCCTAGGGGCATGTCCTGCCCTTAGTTCCCACCTTGGGGTCAAAATGCAACATGTAAGCCTCACCACAGTGTCACCTCACAGGTCCCAGAGCGCACTGGGACTTGAAACAACGTTTAATGTGAAGTCAGTGCAGACTTGTGCGATTCTCCTGTGTCTCACACACACACACACACACGCACGCACACACACTTCTCCACAGCAGCGTCAGAGTAAGCTGTGCACACAGCACCTTCCTGCCTCTAAACCTACCAGTCCATTTGCTGAGAGCAAGGCATTTTCCAAGCTGACTGCAGCAGGGTGGCGGGATCAAGAAGCCTAGTGATTGTAGGACTGTGACCAAATCCACAGGCCTTGTTCCACCTTGCCCTGCTGGCCCCTTGCTCGGGCTCGTGCAGCCTGAGGAGGCCCACCCTCCCTCTGCTCCCTGATGGATGTCAAAGGAGAGAGCCTGGGCTGCAGGACAGGCTGGCGGACAGGGCCCTCCTGCCCCTGCTGGGCAAGAGCTTTGTGGCAGGTGGCTTCATGTACACTTTCAGTCCTGCGTCTTGCAGCTGTGAGATTCAGGGCACATCACAGCCTCTCTCAGAGCCTCCGTGTGCTCATCTGCAAGGTGCAGCTAACATGAACACAGGCGCAAACAAGTGTAGCAAAGCCTAGTGTGGCTATGGAGACCAGGCTGCCAAGGGCCCACGACCAGGGAGGAGGAGGTGCTGTGTGCCCAGCAAGGCTCACCTTCGCCTCCTCCTCTGAAATGGGGGACAGGCTCTCTAATCTAATAACAGAGCTGCAGAAAGAGGGGGCGCCCCTTCGGAGAGGAGATTACCAAGGCACGGCTGCCTTTTGGCTCTCCTGCACACACTCTCACTCGGAGAGGCCCTGGGACCCACAGCTCATGGGCTGTGCACAAGTGGGACAGTGGCCTTTTCCCTGCTTTGCACTCCAGCCTCTGCACGGGCTGTGCTCCTGCACGCCGCACACTCCCAGCAACCGGCACAGATGAGATCATCATCTACGACTTCCGCCACCATTCACCAACTCCCTGCTAGGTGTGGGTGTGGCTCGGTTAGGAATGCATGTGGCCGCCAGTCCTGGACAGCTAACCTCTGTGGCTCATTTGCTACCCCAGCACATAAAACATCTAGACCTAGGCAGCGAATGGCATCAGATTACAGGCTCCAACAATGACCTGGCTTCCCCCTGGGGTCTTGATGCTGCAGCCACCACGATCTGCAGCAGGCCAGGAGGAAGGCCAAACAGCTGAGTCACAGCTCTCTTCCGCTTCATTAAAGACTCCAGAGGTGTTCAGGACCTTCCTGCAGAGGGCTTTTCTGCCTCACTGGTCAGAACAAGGCCACACGGCCGCTCTAGCTACAAGAAGAGGCTGCAGAATCCATTTGCTTTGCAGCCTCTGCATTGGGAAGCAGCAAGGCAAAGGAACTGGGGATTGGAGGACTCAGTGCAGTGTCAGCCACAGAGCAGGGACACAACTGGCCAGGCAGTGGGCAGGCTTTCCTGGCACTAGGAGCTGGGCAGGCACAGGGCTGCTGAGGTGAGCTAGATCTCCTGACCCCAGAGGTTGGGCAGGCAGGCAGAGGGCGGCAGGCAGAGGGCTGCTGGGCTGAGCCGGCTCTCCTGGCACCAGGAGCTGGGCAGGCAGAGGGCTGCCGGGCTGAGCCAGCTCTCCTGGCACCAGGAGCTGGGCAGGCAGAGGGCTGCCGGGCTGAGCCGGCTCTCCTGGCACCAGGAGCTGGGCAGGCAGAGGGCTGCCGGGCTGAGCCAGCTCTCCTGGCACCAGGAGCTGGGCAGGCAGAGGGCTGCTGGGCTGAGCCGGCTCTCCTGACCCAAGAGGTTGGGCAGGCACAAGGCTGCTGGGCTGAGCCGGCTCTCCTGGCACCAACCTTGTCTGAATATCCATCACCTTTCAGGGAAGAACACCTGCCCGTGTGCCTTTCCTACCCATCAGACAGCACATCCCTTGGAGCAAGTGGGACGTCTGCTTTGTTTCTGGATGTCAGCTGCCAGCCTGGAGCTCCCAGGAGACGGAGGTGCTGGCCAGTTGCTGGCTGTGAGGCCCAGGGCACCACCTGGGCACCCAGAGCACAGTGGTATGGGGTCCTTATCTTAGTTTCGGCTTTGCTGCTGCAGCGGACGCGCCCCCTGCTGGCAGGTCCCTGCAATATCACCTGGCGAGGCATCCCTTGGAGGAGAGCAGCTGTTGACCACACTTACGGAGCTCTTAAATGCTCTTTTTCTTTTTGATGAAATATAAATTTCCATGGCCATTAAAACAGGTAGCTGCAGCACCCCACAGAGTAATCTGGGGTTTTGAACCATTTTTAAAAGGCTCTCAGAAACTGTAAATTAGAACATTTCCTTGAATAGAAGGACATCAGAGGCAATGATGTATGATGTTGGGGAGAATAAATAACTTTTCTTTTTCAAAGATTTACGTAAAAGGCAGATGAAAAAGGAGGGAGAAGAAGGGGAAGAAGATGATGGAGCAAGCATCCCTGACTTCTGGTTCACTCTAAATGCCTCTAACAGCTGGGAGTGAGACTAGGGAACCCACTGCTGGCATTATGACCCGCTGCCAGTCCGTATCGGCATTTGGAGGAGACAGAGTCGGGGCAGGGCCACAGCTTGATCCCAGGCTCCACATGTGGGCTGTGTGCATCCCATTCTGCCTAGCTCCTGCCCTGCTGGCTCTTCCACACCTTCTCCTTCCTGTTCCTAGTCAAGGGTACAGCGTGTGTGCCCACCTCTTCCATGGGGACTGTGTCCCGTCGGAGGCTCATCACGGGCAGCAGGGCACAGCGTGTGTGCCCACCTCTTCCACGGGGACTGTGTCCCGTCGGAGGCCCATCACGGGCAGCAGGGCACAGCGTGTGTGCCCACCTCTTCCACGGGGACTGTGTCCCGTCGGAGGCCCATCACGGGCAGCAGGGCACAGCGTGTGTGCCCACCTCTTCCACGGGGACTGTGTCCCGTCGGAGGCACATCACGGGCAGCAGGGCACAGCGTGTGTTTGCTCAGGCTCGGGAACGAGGTGAGACCACCTGTACCTATGTGTGCTGCACCTTGCTTCAGTTGCACACCCCCTCTCAAGCCAAAGTCAGAGGAATACAGGGATAGAATGGATATCGACTCACCCTGCGTGACCTACAGCAGACTCAACCTTGCTCTGATTGGAAGGCGAACTGCACCACACACTCAGTAAGATGCATGCTGTGGAAGTGCCCCCTCTGCCCTGTTCACCTGTGTCCAGATGAAGTCAGTGTGGGAACATTGGCACTGAGCATGGCTGCTCACCGGGAAGCATATGAGGGGGCATGGTAAGCCTTGATGGCGGCTGCAGGCTTTAACAAGCTGGGAAGGAGGTACAGGGCTTGATGAAATGATCATTAACCTGGAGGCCGGGCAAGCAGGCCCACCTCCAGTCCCTGGCCTGCTGGCTCCAGCCCTCCCACCTCCCACATTTACATTCACCCACTACTCCCTGCAACATGCTGCTTCTGCAAATGGGAGTTATGACCTTGGAAATGCCCTCAGCACAGCTGCCACCCCAGGGCTCTGTCCTCAGCATGTACTGCCCCCCGGAATAGTCACCCCACCTCCCTCCTGAGTGTGTCAGCCCTGCACATTTACACATCTTTATCGCCTCCTGCATCGGCTGTAGAACAGCTGCAGGCGCTGGACTAGGCAGCAGACCAGCCCAGAGCCTCCGGGGGCTGCAGACACTGGACAAGGCAGCAGACCAGCCCAGAGCCTCCGGGGGCCGCAGACCCTGGACAAGGCAGCAGACCAGCCCAGAGCCTCCGGGGGCCGCAGACACTGGACAAGGCAGCAGACCAGCCCAGAGCCTCCGGGGGCTGCAGACACTGGACAAGGCAACAGACCAGCCAAGAGCCTCTGGGGGCTGCAGATGCTGGACAAGGCAACAGACCAGCCCAGAGCCTCCGGGGGCTGCAGACACTGGACAAGGCAACAGACCAGCCAAGAGCCTCTGGGGGCTGCAGATGCTGGACAAGGCAACAGCAGACTGGCCCAGAGCCTCCAGTTGGGGAGGCTGCCCTGCCCTGCCCTGCAGCCCTGGGAGAGCAGAATCCTGTGTTGTCTGATGCTCAGGTCTGGGGCGACAAGTGATCTGCAGCAGCCACAGGAAATGCATGCAGGCACTGACTCAGGGCTGCTCCTGCTGTCTGTGTGAGTTTGTGGCTGTAGCTGAGCTGGGGAAGGGATGGGAGGGATGCAGCACCAAGCATAGGCCGTAGTGCCATGGAGGCCTGGGGTCTGGATGAAGCAGCTGAGTGGTGGAGGGGCAAGGGGAAGGCTCACCGAAGCCCCCAGGGCTCTGCGGAGTTTGAGGAGGGAGGGTCTCTGGAGGGTCTGAAACAGGTGCATGCCTGCTGGGAGTTTTACTGAGAGCAAGTGCTCTGCAAGTGCATCAGGACACATCAGGCAGGCTCCAGCTGCCCCTGGGCTCCTGGGCCCGTCGCCAGGGGCAGTCCCCGTCCCACCCAGAGGGCCTTCGCTGCTGCTGCTGCCTCACCTGGGTCAGCCAATGCCCCCACAGGCACCAGCTCTGACCTGTCGCAGGGCAGCTGGGGAGGTGACGCTTGGGAGGCAGCCAGTTTCCCCGCAGTGAGCCCGGCTGGGATGGGGCTGTGGACACAGCCATTTATTACAGACATAAAGCAGGTGGCTCCTGGCAGCGAGGCAAAGGAAACCACAAACACCTTTCATCATACACACCTCTTGATCGGGAGTCTCATCTGAGAGAAAAC